CCTCCCTGGCACCTACTCATCTCCAGGCATTCTGTAGTTTTATTTCAAGCATGCCTTCATAGGATAGAGCATCCAGGCATGACAGAGAGAACTTGTATTGTGATTGTCCCTCTCTACTTTCTAGTTTTTTTACGACCTTGTTTTAAGTGGCTACCATTTTCTAGAGTCTAGATTATGTACTAATCAATGTTAAATCAGCCAGCGAGATCTTTACATCATTCACCTGGTCACTGTATTTCTATTAATGAAGTCTAGACCAGTATTTGCCCCTTTTAGCTGTCACAACACACTCATGTTGGATTTGGGATCAGCTAAAACCATGGACTCCCAGCACTGGGTCCTCCACAAGTTTGCGAAGTATGTATTCTAGCCAAGTTCCTGACAACAGTACGGAGCTGGAGAAGGCAAAGTCAAAGAGTGGCTGGCACACCCCTCGAGACTCCTTTCAGGTTTCTCATTACCCTCTTGATAAGGACTAAAACCGAGAAGGGAAGTAAAAGACATAAGTCCCAGAACCAATTAGGCACAATCCAGGTTTGGAGAATTCCTTAAAACTCCTAGATTTTACATACTTAACACACACAGATGATTAAATCCCTCGAGCAAGACTAGCAGCAAAGGACTCATTTGTCCTTTCATAGTTTGAACTTTCTATAAATGGCCTTGCACCTTTGCCAGGTCTCCATTGAATTCTGAACAGTGAAGCTTGAGTTAAGATTGTTGACCATCAGTCATTTAAAACAAGTCAGAGGGGTCACAAGTTACTTACGCCCTGAATTGGTGGATGGACGTTTCAAACGTAGCAAGTAGCACAAATCAACTACAGATTTAAAAAAAAAAAAAAAAAATCCAAATTTTGCATTGTTCATCCCCCTTTTAAGGAAAATATTTGCTAGGACGAGCATTACCCTAGAGTGGCAAGTACGACCCAGAGGAAAAGTAATGCTCTGGATGTACCTATGATCGATCCACACACAGCTTAAAGCTGTCTTGCATTGGACTCTGGTTGAGCATGGAGGCTTCAGGCCGATGGGCTGGGCCAGGATAGGCTGGTATCAGCCACATCCTAGGACATCCACGTGAGGCGTGGGGTTGTGGGCTCACTTTTGACCTCCAAAAGGACCAGCCACGCCCTGAAGATAAAGGGGGAGGAAAGTTTTGCGCCCCACGTTGTCGGGGTCAGGGCTGGAAGCAATTTCAGGAGAGGTCTTATGAGTTTCCTAAAATCCATCTCTCCCCACCCCGCACTCAGCCGAGGTCTGCGATGCAACTTTCTGTTAGGAGCAAACTACATGGATGTCAGGTTGTGAGGATGCGGCGGTTCAGAGCACTTCCGTCCGCGCTCACACCCCGTGCCTCTCTCCTCCGACCACACTCCCCCTGCTATTTCGCATTCTCTGCACCTCCCTTCTCCCCGCTTCCCCAGCCTTCTTCTCCCGTTGCCCCAGATGCTTCCGCCCCACCGCGGTCCCTTCCTCCCCGCTGGCGCTGAGCGCTGCCTTACTCTGTCCGGGCGCCGGCAGGTGGTGGGAAGAGCTGCATGGGCCTGGCGCACACTGCCCGGCGGCCGTTGCGGGGCGCTTGCTCCCGCCCGCGCCGGCCGGGGACCACGCCCTCCTCCCGTCTCTATAGAAACTCCGGCCGCTCTTTTTGTGACTCCGGCCGCGGAAAGGACTTAGACTTTGGTTCCGTCCCAAACCACCGTTCACATCAGCATAAAGAACACCCCTCTTCCTCCCCTACTCCCATTCTCTCGCCTCAGGTAGAGTTGAAGGACATCCCAAGAATGGGCAGATTCGAGTTCACGGAACTGCCCGGGCTCATGAAATTATTCCTACTTTCTCCCTCTTCCAAAAAGTTTGTGGTTCCCCGAAGCTCATGGCAAAAGTTCCAGATATAAAGTATTCATCAGATGAGCACTTTTTGAGCATTGACTCTGCACCAGGTTTTAAATGCATGAAAACTAAGAAAAGTTCTAGCTAAATGACAGTAGCGGGACCTGGAGGAATATCGTCTGGTCTGAGGAGGAAACAGACATTCAAAAAAGCTTTTAGAAAGATGAGTTGAATTTGAGTCTTCAAGGCCAAATAGGAATTAGCAACGTAAAGCAGACAGGTAAGAGCCCGTGTAAAGGCCCTGAGCTAGGGGACCACATGGTATCACGGGTGCCGGCCCGTTGGGTGCGGCAAGTCAAAAGTGCATAGGGGGCAGCATGAGACCAGGTTGAAGAAGCAGACGGGACAGCCAGATTTGAAACATCTCATGAACTGAACAGGCTAGGGTTTTTGTATGTGGATTTTAAGCAGACGGGTGTTCATGCTCAGATTTTAGAAAACTTTCTGGCAAAATGGTATGGAGGGTAGACCAGAGTAGGTTAAGAATCAAGGCAAGGATGCCTGTTAATAGTGAGTGATGTTTCAGAGTAAGGGACAGCAGGTGGAAGAACAGTTCTGAGCAATTTACAAAATGGGAGAGCTCAGTGACTGGATGTGAAGGGCGGAAGTGCCCCAGGCCCTCCAGTTGATAGTGGTGCCATTTACTAACAAAATCTAGGAGGGGAAACACGGAGGATAGGGAGGATATTACTGATTTACTGGTGACTTATTGCATCAGATTATCAATGAACCAGGCTCTTGCACAGAGCAAGATCTGGGCTAAAAAAATCCTGACTTGGCAGTCATTGTCACATAGGTGACCCCTGGAGCTTGAAGTCACCTAAGCTTGAAAGGGGGGGGGCAGGGGAAAAGAATGGAATCACACAGAATAGGGCATTATGGTAGAAAGAGTGGATGTAGGTGACACAAGATTATAAATCTGCAAAATAATGAAGAGCAGGCAGGGATATGGGGAGAAAACTAAAAAAGAATAGTGTCACGTGAGTTCAGTAAATAAAATGTATTAATAGGCAGGTTATGATGAACAGGGTCTGTAAGATTAGGTGAGAAAACTGTACACTGGATTTGACAGAAAGGTCATTAGTGCTTTCTGCAAGGCCAGTTTTAGCATAATTTAAGGTAATTTTCAGTATAAGCTATTACTTTTTTTAAAAGATTTTATTTTAGAGAGAGAGAGAGCAAGCATGAGCGGGGGAGGGGCAGAGGGAGAGAATCCCAAGCAGACTCTTGGCTGAGTGCAAGCCCAATGCAAGGCCATGACCTGAGCCGAAATCAAGAGTTGGATTCTTAACTGAATGAGCCACGCAGGTGCCCCCAAACTTACTTTGAATAACACAGAGGAAACAGGTTCATCAGGCTGGTGCCAGATGATTAATCAGTGATAGCAGTACCTAATACAGGGTAGGCTCTTAATAAATTTTTACTGTTGAACTGCACCATATAGAGTACCTTAATACCTTGTAACTGCATACATGTTTTAAGAAGGGGATGCAGTGGGGTAGGTGAGGTGGTATACAACAGTATAAAAATATACACAGGAAAAAAATGTACAATAGTAATAAGCAAATGCTCACTTTTTTTTTTTAAAAGGTTTTATTTCTTTGAGAGAGAGAAAGAGAGAGACACAGAGCATGAGCAGCGGGTAGGGGGAGAGGGAGAAGCAGACTCCCCACTGAGCAAGGAGCCCGACACGGAGCTTGAGTCCAGGACCCGGGGATCATGACCTGAGCCGAAGGCAGATGCTTAACTGACTGAGCCACCCAGGCGCCCCTGCAAATGCTCACTTTAATCATTTTTCTAAATTCCTTATTTTCACATTAACATAGATGTTTTTATAAACCAAGAAAAACTGAACCAATAATATTATACATTTTAATGGTTAACATGATTTTTTAAAAGATTTTACTTATCCATTTGAGCAAGAAAAAGAGAGAGAGAGACTTTGAGGAGCAGGAGAGGAGCAGAGATGGAGGGAGAGGGAGAGGAAAGAATCTCGAGAGATTCTGTGTTCAGCACGGAGCTCAAACCCACAACCCCAAGATCATGACCTGAGCTGAAACCAAGTCAGACACTTAACCAACTGAGGCACCCAGGCGCCCCTAATGGTTAACATGATTTGAAGAATTTTTATTAAAAAGTGATCAGGAGCTGGTTGAAATTCTCACCATAAAATGTGAAATATCTACAACTATTTTTATTCATAACAAATTCACATTAAGCTTCCTGAAAAGCTGTATTATCTAATATCATAATAGGGATGACTGAGTACTTGACAGCCACCCTCTAATCACTGGCTTCACAAAGTGATTATTCTAAGAAACAGCTCTCCCCGCCCCCCTTATACTTACAACAAAAAGACTAACATATTTTTTTTTTTTTGCAAAACATTCATTTAATCGTGAAATGGAGACAATCAGAAATAGATGGATGCAATGGTATGAAGGAAAAGAGCATATCAAGACTCTTCCACTTTTATTAAAGGTTTTGGCAATGAGAGCGTCATAAAATCTCATGAAATTCTATTTGCTATATAATAAACATCTACTTCTGACTAGGAGACATATGCCATATTATAGCAACCATTTTAATGTGTAAAATAATTGTGAATTCTCACTATAAAAATATTTGGCTAAAATATGAAACATCTTTGCAGTAAAACTGACAATGCAACCTAAGATTTCAGAAATGTCTCCTAGAAAAAATGGACATGTTTCCTTTTGCCAGATAACCTCTCAACAGTGAAAGTTAAGGTGCCATAAATTAGACAAAGCTGGAAAGCAACATCATCTTCTTAGAACAGTATGCAACGTGGACTTCCTCCTTGTCAAACAGACAACCACTTAACGACAATGACTTATTACACACAGGAAAAAGAGAACACGTTCTTCAGAAGGAAATGACATCACAAAATAATTCTTATAAACAATCCTTTTCTTGAAGTCTTGAATAGCTTCAGAGAACATCATCACAAAATAGGTAGAGGCAATTCACATGACCTTAAAGGATAACTTTATATTATGATGCCCTCCTTATATAGAAACACACTTCAAATATAAACACACTTGTAAAACTCTAATTCTATCAAACATTTGTTTACCACCACACTCAGCTGCTAGCGGCGCTTGGATGTAAAGGTTTAACTCGTGCTAATCTGGACAAGCCAAGGCGGAGACTCCGATTGGGAGACTTAACAGACACCCCTGCCGGGGGGCTCCTCCTCCTGCTACTGCCGCTGCTTCCAGATACCGCTGAAAGAAAGCATAGCACCTGCTGCTGGCGGTGTTTGAAATCTCTTAACAAAGATCAACTTCTAAGACAGAAGATGCAAAAAGAAAAGCAGATACGGATTACTGTGGTATATAAGTTCTATCAAGCCATAAACAAGATCAAAAGAATGAACAGTATTAAAGGGCAGAAAGAATACAGTACTGCCTATTTTCAAACATGCTCAGAAGGCAAGTTAATGGCACCAAAACTTGAAGCACAAAACCTGAAACAGGTAAGTTGGGAGCAAGTAACATTGGTTTTAAAGGCATGAAGAACTGCATGCAGTTATAATTTCTAAAGTAGCAGAAAAATCCAATGCATTTTTTGAAAATGCTGCAATTTTTACAAATACTCCTTGAATCTATTTTTTCAAATATTAAATTATTGTAAACATGACAAATATTCTTTTTATTTATTTATACTAGTTTATTTAAGTGACATTATATGGTATTTGTCCTTCTCTGACTGGGGGTGGGAGTGGATGGGTGAAATAGATAAGGGGGATGAAAGGGTAAGACGTACAAACTTCCAGTTATGAAATAAGTAAGTCACGGAGATGAAAAGTCCAGCATAGGGAATATAGTCAATAATATTGTAGTAACATTGTATGGGGACAAATGGTGACTATGCTTATCATGGTGAGCACTGAGTAGTGTGTGGAACTGTTGAATCAATATGTGCCTGATATTTTATAAGATGAAGTAATTAAGAGACATTAAGTAATCATGCAGTCTCAGACTGCAATCTTTTTTTTAATAATGCTTTTTATTTATATTTCAAATTTTTATTTAAATTCTAGTAACACATAATGTAATATTAGTTTCAGGAGTACAATTGAGTGATTCCTCACTTATATATAACACCCAGTGCTTCTCACAACAAATGCCCTCCTTGATGCCCAACACCCACTACTCCATCCCCCTACCCACCTCCCTTCCAGCAATCCTTAGTTTGTTCTCTATAGTTAAGAGTCTGTTATGGTTTGCCTTCCTCTCTTTTTTTTTGCTTCCTCGATGTTCTTCTGGTTTTTTTTCTTAAATTCCACATATGAGTGAAATCACATGGTATTTGTCTTTCCCTGACTGACTTATTTTGTTTAGCATAATACTCTCTAGTTCCATCCAAATGGCAAGGTTCATTCTTTTGGATGGTTGAGTAATATTCCATTGTATGTATATACCACATCTTCTTTATCCATTCATCAGTTGATGGGTATCTGGGCTCTTTCTGTAATTTGGCTATTGTGGATAGTGCTGCTATAAACATCAGGGAGCAATACAAAAATACTGACTCAGACTGAAATCTGTCATACCTAGTTATCAGGGGGTGACCACTGTGGACCAATCAAGAAATGTCAGTGAAAAGAAGTAAACCAAACCTGAGTAGATTTGAAATGACTTAGAGGAGAGGGGACAAATGAGGAGAGACATACCAGAGGAAGGAAAGTGGACAGAGAGAGGCTCTGACAGAAGACGACACACATTGTGTTTAAGGAAGAAAAACAGTATCAATCTCCCTGGACTAGAGGGTTCATGTGGTTGGGTGAGAGGAAGTGGATACAGGACCAGTTAGGAAGCCACAGGTGGTTTGGGCATGAAATGAACAGGGCCTGGACTAGGTTTTTGGTAATGTTGAGATAAGTGAAGGTCAAAGAATTCTTAAAGGATCAGTGAGGCTTGGCTGTGGAGCAAAAACAAAGGAAGAGAAGTCAAGTCTGCGAGGGCATTTGTTAAATGCTGGAAGCCCTGTGTACAGGTCCCGAGGCTTTAGTCAGACTGTGACCAGTGGTCTTGAGCAAACCGATTTCTTGCCAAAAATAAATATCAGGAATGTTAAATGTTAACACTCTTTGACACTGTAATTCCAGCACTAGGAATTTGTCCTAAGAAAATAGTCAAGGATGTGCCCACAGATTTCTAAAATAAGGACGTTTGTGCTTATTGCAACCTTACTTATGACATTGAGAAAATAATAAACAATCTGGATGCTCAGTATAAGCATATAAGTATAAGGGAATGACATATGATGAATAAATGCAGCAATTAAAAACCTTGGTTTTGAAGAGTATGTAATAATATGGTGTAAACACAACTAGGAAAAAACATCTGCCAGTGATAATTTTCCAAGCCCCTGCCCTTGATCAATAAATATGCCATACCTGGTGGGATCCACTTAGGTTTTCTGCTTTCAGCTGAAGGGCTGCATATTTGTAATGATTTCCTAGTGGCCTCTGAAGAAAGAGAAACCTTTTTTGGTGAAGGCTGAGATTCTGATTTCACAGCAGCTGGAACACAGTCTCCTGAAGTCACTTTAAAAAAAAAATATATATATATATATATATATACATATACACACACACAGAGAGAGAGAAAGTAATGAGCACTGGGTGTTATATACAACTGATGAATCACTGAACTCTACAAAACTAATAATCTACTCTATGTTAATTAATTGAATTTAAATAAAATTTTAAAAATATATACATAGAAATGGTTTTTCACAGAGGAAGATTAAGTCTAGCACGTCAGGGTAAAAATTATAAACTTACATAATCTTATAAAAATTAAAAAGGCAATATCATAAATTTGGAAAACTCTTATTATACACAAACATTCACTGAGAGCCTAAGAATAGCCATTTTTATGAGCATTTGTAGGCAAGGCAGTGTGGTAAGCATTCCACATACACTATCTTTAACTCTCAGAGCAACTCTGATACAGATATTGCTATCCCCACTATCAGATAAGGAAACAGGCTAAGTAATCTGCCTAAAGTCTAATAGCTGCTAAGTACCTGAGCCAGGATTAGGAACCAGGTCCAAAGTCTATATCTGTAGCCATTACATAAAAGTGTCTCATCAGTACATGTTAATGAGACAATATATTAGGCTCTAGGGTTACAAAGAGTATAGCTCATGGATCTTGTTCCTCTCCCTCTGCTGCTCCCCCAGCTTGTGCTCTCGCTCTCTCAAATAAATAAATGAAATCTTTAAAAAAAAAAAAAAAAGAAGGAAAGGAAGGAAGGAAAACCAAAGAAGCCCAAAACATGTGGCAAGAGGGATCTCAAATCAAAGACTAAGTCAAGATTGAAAGCAAGAAATGAGAATCATGCAAACTTCCCTGTTCGCTGCCTGGAAAAAATGTGGTCCAGTGGCTGGAGCTTGAGCTCTAAATGGACAAACCTGGGTGCAAATTCCAGCAGCTCATATAATTAGTTGGAAGAATTCCAACAAATTCTTTAACCTGAGCCTCAGTTTTCTCACCGTAAAATGCAGGTGACCCTAGCCATCTCGGAGGGGGGCCGTCAGTGCTGCAGGAGGGTAATTCTAGTAAAAGCTCCACAGGCAGTGGGGCTCAGAACTCTCAGCTGCTTTTCTCCCTTCCCCACCACCCCCTTCCTTCTGTGTATCTTAGCTAGAAGTGAACACTGGCAAAATGTTAAGGAGAACAAAGGCAGAGAGAAGAAAAACACATTAAATAAACCAAATACATTCCCTTTATAAAATTGTTTTGGACTAGGCTTACCCAAAGTATCACATTTGGATTTAGGTTTCTTCTCCTTCTTTTCAAGTGGGGATTTTACCCTTACTTCTTTCTTCTTAATTTCTTTCACTTTTTTTCCCTTAGTGAAGTCTTCATCATCGTTTTCACTCTCATTAAAATCAGAGTCATCCTCAGACTCTTCACCTAAAACAGAGGATTACATACTTGATCTTTGTTCTAAAAAGTGAGGCTTCCATGTATACCTGAAACTAATATAACATTGTATGTCAATTTACTTCGATTTTAAAACAAAGTGAGGTTTCTATTGCCTCGACTTTACAGCCTTTGCACTCGATTCTTGGGCACCTCATACTATGCTATGCCACCACAGGACTGAGAGCATGGTTGCCTGGGTTTGAATCCTGGCCCCTCTGCTTACACTTTGTGTGACCTCAGACAGGCCACTCACCCCACTGTGCTTAAGTTTCCTATGTATAAAATGAGGATCATCATAAAGCCTACATGAGAGGGTTGTTGTGCAGATTAAATGAGTTAATATAGGTAAAGCATTTAGAATAACATGTGGCAAACAGCAAGCAAAACAGAACTGTTTGCTCTTACTATTATCATTATAATTTCCCATCAGTAATCTTTACTTCCAATTTTTCCAATTTAACTTAGTAACTTTTTAAAGTAGGGCATAATATTATCAACTCCTTCAAAACAAGGACCTTGATGGTAATAACAACAGTATACTTTCCTTTAATCAAATAAACTTCAACATTCTAGAATAGAAACCCATTAGGAATCAAGAAGAGACTAACCATACCACAACATATTAACTGATAATCCTATGTATGATTTCATTTGGGACACACCTTTCATTTCCCACAAGCTCTTCTCTGTATTATATGGGATGATACAAGCTAGTGAGGTGATATGGTAAGTAGCTACGGCTGCTCTGGAAATCAACATATTTCACACAGCTGGAACAAATAATCCTAAAATTTGTATGGAACCAGAAAAGAACCCGAATAACCAAAGGAATATTGAAAAAGAAAACCAAAGCTGGTGGCATCACAATTCCAGACTTCCAGCTCTATTACAAAGCTGTAATCATCAAGACAGTATGGTACTGGCACAAAAACAGATGCATAGATCAGTGGAACAGAACAGAGACCCCAGAAATGGACCCTCAACTCTATGGTCAACTAATCTTCAACAGAGGAAAGAATAACCAATGGAAAAAAGACAGTCTCTTCAACAAATGGTGTTGGGAAAACTAGAGAGCAACATGCAGAAGAATGAAACTGGACCATTTTCTTACACCATACACAATAGACTCAAAATGGATGGAACACCTAAATGTGAGACAGGAATCCATCAAAATCCTAGAAGAGAACACAGGCAGCAACCTCTGTGACCTCGGCCACAGCAAATTCTTGCTAGACACATCTCCAAAGGCAAGGGAAACAAAAGCAAAAATGAACTATTGGCACTTCATCAAGATAAAAAGTTTCTGCACAGCAAAGGAAACAGTCAACAAAACAAAGAGGCAACCCACAGATGGGAGAAGATATTTGCAAATATCTTATCAGATAAAAGGCTAATATCCAAGATCTATAAAGAACTTAGTAAATACCCAAAAAACAAATAATCCAGTCAAGAAATGGGCAGAAGGCATGAACAGACACTTCTCCAAAGAAGACACACAAATAGCCAACAGACACATGAAAAAATGCTCACCACCATTCATCATCAGGGAAATACGAATCAAAAACTCAATGAGATACCACCTCACACCAATCAGAATGGCTAAAATTAACAAGTAAGGAAACAACAAATGTTGGCAAGGATGCAGAGAAAAGGGAACCCTCTTACACTGCTGGTGGGAATGCAAGCTGGTACAGCCACTCTGGAAAACAGTATAGAGGTTCCCCAGCTAGTGCACTATTAGGTATTTACCCAAAGGATACAAACATAGTGATCTGAAGGGGTACCTGCATCCCAATGTTTATGGCAGCAATGTCCACAATGGCCAAACTATGGAAAGAGCCAAGATGTCCATTGACAGATGAATGGATAAAGAAGATGTGGAATATTACTCAGCCATCAAAAAAAATCTTGCCATTTGCAACAGCGTGGATGGAACTAGAGGGTACTAAGCTAAGCAAAATAAGTCAATCACAGAAAGACAATTATATGGTGTTACTCATATGTGGAATTTAAGAAACAAAAAAACAGAGGCTCATAGAGGAAGGGAGGAAAAAATAAAATAGACGAAATCAGAGAGGGAAAAAAAACATGAGAGACTCTTAACTAGGAAATAAACTGAGGGCTGCTGGAGGGGAGGTGGGTGGGAGGATGGGGTATCTGAGTGATGGGCATTAAGGAGGGCACATGATGTAATGAGCACTGGGTGTTATATAAGACTGATGAATCACTGACCTCTACCTCTGAAACTAATAACACAGTATATGTTAATTAATTGAATTTAATAAATTAAATTTCATTTTAAAAAAGAATATCTGATAGCTAAGCAATGATTCTTCTGTTTTGGGAAAGGTCGGGGGAGGGGAGTCAGAAAACCATGTCTTATAACTAATAAATTCTGAATACTAAGTGTAAATAAGGAGTAATACTACATTCATAAAAACTTTATATTTTTTTATATTATAAAACAGTACATGCTTTTTGCAGGAAATATAGAGCACACCAAAGAAATATCAAGGCAAAAGAAAATCCACTCTTAATCTCGCCACTTAGAGATAACCACTGTTAGGCTCAGCGTATATAATATTTACCTATCTGTAGGAAATAATAAATTTTATATAAAAAAATACATAAACACTTCCAAGCATACACAACGATAGATGATAATAAACTACCACTCAGACTCAATATTCATCAATAATTTTCTACATTTGTTTCATCTCTCTCTCATCTTCTCTTCCCCTTCCTCCTTGGAGTATTTTAAAATAAATCCAAGGCATCAGCTCATTACACTCCTAGATACTTCAGAGTACGTCTCTAAAACACCTAGGCTTTTTTTTTTTTAACACAGGAATGTCATTATCATATCTTACAGTATCAACAACAGTTTCTTGGAATCACCTTCTATCCAGTCATTATTAATCATTTTTAAATAGAGCAATATCCCTTTTTCCCCTCAATGCCTTTGACTTGTTGAAGTAACCAGGTCAGTTGTCCTATAGAACTTCCAATATTCTGGATTTGTCTGTTTTCTTCCTCATGGTGTCATTTAGCTCATTCTGTGAGTTGGAATTTTCCCAAGGCTCAATTAGGATCAGGCTCACCTTATTATTTTTTTTTGTAAGAATATACTTCATAAGTGATGCTCTGTACTTCATATTATATCAGATCAGAAAGCACATAACATATGTCCTACTCTTAGTTGGCTCAGTTGGCCCAAACTCTCATTGTGAAGGTCCTCATCAGCCTTCCACTGATGGTCTTTGCCTAAATTAACGACGTCATTATGATCTTCAAATTGCAATTTCCTTATTCATTCTTTCCACACAAATAAAAACTTAAAAACAGATGAGAGTAATCAACCCACAGAGTCACATAATGATTACTGGGTTATATACAATTAGTCATATGATGCCAGCAGACCACATGAAGGCTGCTATAAATAGTACTTTGTAAAATCAAATAATTATTTCTGGAGTTCCAAAAGGATGTAGGTTTGGGGAGGGCAAGTAGGGGAGTTCCTCCAAAATTTCAAAATATAGACTCTTGGAGGACAAAACTTCCTATCCAACAGTTTTGGTAGTGTATATATTCTTTTCTTGGCTTGAGGATAAACGGTAGGAGCTGAATAAACTCTATATATCAAACTTTTTTTT